TCTAATGTGGCACATAGTAGCTTTTCAGGGATTCCCATAATGGAAACAGAAGCAGTTCCTTTGGAAATTTTAAACACCACTGCCCTTATCTGAACGTGCTTCACCGGGGACACGACAGAGCTGACCTAATTGTTCTGGCATTTTCAAAGATACTGTAATTTGTGAAGATATTGCAGTTTAGGCCAATGCAACGAGAGGGAGGTTCTGACACTGCTGTTATTAAAATAGCATTAAGGGGTTCTGTTATCATAGACAGTTCGTAATTCAGATATAGATTAACACTTTGTTGTTTTAATATCTTTTAAAGTAGAGTACTTATGCAAATGTCTTAAAATGACACTATAGATAAGCGTTTAGGATAGAACATAAAATATCCCATTATAGATATTCTTTTTATCTTAAATTCTACTTTAACTATTGAAATATATAACTGAAACTTAAAAAAGAAAGTTCCAACTCTAAAAGTAAAAAATGCGTGGTTGTTACAGAAGTCTAATTTTAAAAACGGTATGTCTTCAGTGTTTTTGGCAAGACGATTGATTTCAAAAAGTCCTTTTCCTCTCTTTTTTTTCTTTAGAACGCCGTTCGTCATAATCTAAGCCTGCACAAGTGTTTTGTTCGAGTAGAAAATGTGAAGGGGGCAGTATGGACAGTGGATGAAGTAGAATACCAAAAGCGGAGGTCACAGAAGATAACGGGGTATGTTCTGCTGTCGCTGTGCATTCCCTGCCTATCACCCAGATCCATCAGCCTTGCTCATCCCAGGCCAGCTGCATGTTTTTTAATGGGATTTTAAACTGAAGGAGGAAACAGACAAAAGGAATTTTCAGGACAGAAAGTCAAAGCACAGTGTGAAGGCAAAAATAAAGGATCGCTTCTCCTTTTTCAAGTTGTATATTCATACAAGTTTCTGTGTTGTATAGGATTATGGTTTTGTTTCATCATATTGCAGCCCCTCTTTCATCCAGTATATGATGTATAATTTGAGTCCGCCTTATTTTGTTAATTCCCTTTCTCTACACCTGGCTTTGTATCTCAACCCTACATATGTACCACAGTTTTAAGCTCGTGTTGGAATTGTCAATGGCTGAGTATTTGCGAATAATAATGTCATTTTTAAGGATGGAGTAATAGAGTGTATACATTATTAGTCAGACTTCACAGGTGTCACAGAAATAAAATCCTATTATAGAATGGAGAAACTGTTTTTCAAAAAAGTTTAAAATAAATGTTGTAGTATATGTCAATGCACTTGCTTATTACTGTACATCTTAAGTACCTTTTTTGTCTGCTTCTAAAATAAGGTGCATTTGTAGTGTATGTGTTTGAATGGTGTAATTGTACATTTTTGAGGAATGTGGCTTAAATCACTTCTAAGAAGGAATGAATATTTCATTTTTCCAATTATTTTCAATTATTCTGTGTACATTTGCAGGAGCCCAACACTAGTTAAAAATCTGCCAACTAGCCTGGGTTATGGAGCAGCTCTTAACGCAAGCTTACAGGTAAATTTTAAACGGGTGAAACCAAATTTTGAAGGCACCTACTGCATGTATTTTTCATTTACTGCTTTGTGGTTTAACATGAAGTAAAAAAAATACAGTAACATTAAATGCCATGAAATCACAATTTTGTATCCACAATGTGAAATGAAATGTTGTTTTTTTAACATTGCCGAAACGGACCGCGGCATTTTGCAGAAAAAAAAAACTAAAATGTAATTCACAGTTTATGAATGCTGTCAGCTTTTTTACAATTTATTTTGATGGTAATCTTTGAATAAGCCAAAACAGATATTTAACAAATGTTTTAAAACTTGGGAGAGCGCTTCAGTAAATGATAAGTTAATCATACTGGGAGGCCAGTTCTTTGAGACTCCTTCTGCTTTTTCATACGTGAAAGAAGCGAGAAGGACACCCTGTGGCAGAGACTGGAACCTCCAGCCCAACTTCAAATGTTAGATTGATAGCAGCCTCTGCAAATGCAAGTGGATATGCATTAATATTTATCTAAGCTGTCATAAATGATTTCACATCATAGTGTTAGTGAGCGAGGCGCTCATGGCAAAAACTTTAAAATTTAATTACTGTATATAATTTTTATGCACAAGAGGCAAAATGTCAGGACATTTTATTTTAAGGTAAAGTTTTGGTCATTTTAATAGTCATGAAGTTTTTTTAAGTGTAAATTGTAGATCCGTAGACTAGATGAAAACCACAAAGTACAGTGCCACGTGGGGTTAAACTCTTCAGTTGACAACCCACTTAGAAGTTATGACTGATGTTGAATGACATTGCTGCTAACTTTGAAACCTAAAAGTTGATCTTATTCTGTGTTGTCAATTTTTTGGGATATTGTTTTTGTTGTAGCATTAAAATAGTCATAAAATAGTCATATTTTTCCCCACCTTGTAAAATATGAATGTGCCCTATAACCTAAATGCATGAACTTTTAACCACACTGACCTAATTTGCAGACAACGTAGGTGAATATCTGGCTAATATTTCTTAACAAAACATGGAATCAAAAGAAAAGGGTTACAATGAAGATGATTGTGTCAAGCAGTTCTGGATCTCAGCAGAGGTAGATGGTGCTGATTCTGATACTTCTGGAACAGTTTGAAAAAAAGCTTTACTACAACACATTTCACTTCACAAAATAAATAACAGAAAGTAAAGCCTTCTTGTGATGTGCTATGTTTGCTCAATGTGCTATGCTCATTTATGTATTTTGAAAATTACAACAGAACCTCAGAAAAGAAGAGCAGTGATCATGCATGTGATCACTGTGAGATGGAAATGGTTCACATGTGTGCCGCTGGGTGATTTTCTAATCTGTTGTGCTCTGTGTATTTCTTGTAGGCCGCATTAGCGGAAAGTAGTTTACCATTGCTTGGTAACCCAGGTTTGATAAACACCAGCTCCACTGGCTTGTTGCAAGCAGCTCATGAAGACCTCAATGGTTCACTAGACCACCTTGACAGCAATGGGAACAGCAGTCCGGGTTACTCTCCCCAGGCTCACTTGTGAGTGACTTCATGTGCCTTTCCTTACACTGTGAACACTGGAGAAGAATGCATGTTTTTTTTTTACAATACAATATATTATTTTCGCATTCATGAAACGTATGTGTATTATCTGTGTCCTTACTATCCAAAACTTGTTTTGAGAATTGTTTCTGTAACATTCTCAGGTTATATATTTAAAGTTCCACAAAATCATCTCTTACCATCTCTTACTGGATAAGTTCTTAATAACCCATTATATAGTGACAGTATTACGTATTACAGCATAAACAATAACTTTTGGGTGCTGCACATTTTGCTTTCAACAGTTCTTTACAAAGACAAAGCTGGTAGATGTTTTCTTTGAGAACCAAAAAATAATAAAACACATTTAAAAAACAAACAGTTGGAAACTGCCCTATGTTTTATGAAACCTTAAAGTTTTAAGTGACTTATAACTCGGATAGCAGTTATAGCCATTAAATAGGAGTAATTACAGATTCAGATTTAATTACTCCTATGTCTGCATTGGCGGGGTTTATATGTTATATTTTATGCAAGACTGTTCCTATTAATATTTAGCAGCTAACAGTATCATTAATTACTTTAAAATCTTTGCCTTTCCATCTTTTTTAATGGAGCAGAGAAGGAAGGAGTATTAAAAATTTATGTATTGTGGATTTCAGAAATGTGTATGTAAGGAATGTCTCTCCCTTATCAGTGATGTCAAATGTGTCACTGTTTCATGTTTACTAAACTGAGGACAGAGAAAGGGATAGTGGGGTTGTGTTTTACAGTGCTGTTTTGTTTTAAGCCTTGGTGAGAATGTAGAAATGGGAAGTCATAGGCTCACACACATCTTGGCGTATAGCAATACTTAATCTGCAAATGTGGTACAGACCAAATGTTTCATTTGAAATCAGAAATGGAGCTTTATTGAAAAAAGAAAAGAAAGGTCCTTGGTGTCACACACTAAAAGCCTGAATACTGGCCCATATAGTTCCTTTGGTTAGTTAAGTTTTAATAGCAGACAATAGCAATTCTTGACTAATGCACTGATGCATGTTCTCCAGTTATGTCATTCTGACGCGAATGGCTGCGTTTTTTTTTTCTTACAGAGCCATTACATTTTCAAAATGGAAGAAATGTGTTTTGTGAGCAGGTCTTAGGAACATATTTAATAATACAAAAGGAGTAATAAAACTAAAGAGTACAACAAATATCAAAATATACTCACGAGAGCAGAAACAACTTGAAAACCAAGTGAAACGAACAATTAGACAAACCTTTTTTTCACATCTAGAGGTTAATGCAATCAACCAAACATCAGCAAGCTCAGATAGCTTGAGGCATGATACCATTTACTTGTATGCATTCTCTTGGGTATAGATAGAAAAAAAAACTCTTTCCTGCTACAGACATTGTCAAGAAAAGAAATGTACTGCATGTTGATAAGCCAAAAGCAGAATATTAATGAAACTACAATTTTTAAAAGAAAATGTAGTAATGTTTGTGAAATAAAAAGCTAATTGCTTTGTGATATTGTAGTAGTCAGAATTTTTTTAAAAAATTAAAAACACGTTTTTTTACTAGTATTACCTATATTATACTGTTAAAAAATAGCTAATTTGATATTATGTTTTGATTAACAATTAAAAAGTTTCATTTGAAGAGTACCAATGAATACTTTAAATCAGTAGAAGCATGATGTGGTTAGTATGTTCTAAAAAATACAATTATTAATGCACCGTATAACTTTTACATATTTTATTGCCTTATCATTTTATTGTGTATGGAGTTTACCTTAAACTTTTATAAAATAATAATAAGTGATTTAAAAAGAAGTACACGACGGCCAAAATAAAAATAAACATGCCTTTTACAGGCAGAATTAAGAGACATTCCTGTTCACGGTCATCAGACAGTGGGCTTGGGGATGATCGTACAATGAGGGCTGTACATGCCCAGTACTTTCTTTGTGAAAAGGTTTCATTTT